AAATTAAATTTGACAGATATCATTTTTCCACAGTATCCTCATTGAAAAATAGGAATATCAACAACCCATGTCTTCACAGTCAAAGGTATATGTAAGTAAATGCAACTTTATTATGCTTTGGCATCTCTTCTTTTATAGACTTCTTCATAAAGATACTAAACAGTATCTTTATAATCAAGTTAGAGTAGTGACTTCTGCTTCAGTTTTGAGACAAATAGAGCAACTATTTCAAATGTCTCATAATTCAACGATATCTCATACTAAACTAACTTCTATGCGTGTTAATGATCAGATAGAAGTTGCTAGTATTTACTGTAATAATATTTGGCAGAAAATAGATTGAATAGGCAAATCTTGTTAAAAAAAAAAAAGATATATGAAATAAATATTTCTCCAAGAACAGAATTTCTTTTGGTATATCTTTAAGTACTGGTGACACCTTTACGGGCTACTAAAAGATTTAATACTGGATGTTTTCTTATATAAGAAACAGCTTTCTTATGAGTCACCATAGTGAAGTCATATCCATTGCATTGTAAGATTTTGTCGTGCATTCTAAGACCGCTTTTTGCTGCTGGTGATCCTTCATGCACTTCTGTCACGTATATACCCTGCAAGAGATTCAAATTTATAAGCTCTTATGTTAGATTTAAGAAATATAAATAGGTCTATGCATATGTGAAAGCATATTTATTAGATATTATACATCATATTTCTCACATTGTCCGTGTAACCCTGAGGACTTTTTGTAAAGTCTTGATCGATCCCGCCGCCTATTTTGAAACCACATTTCATTATTTCCTCGCCATTCTCGTTAATTTCTGTTTCCTTGTGTAATGTGATTGGTATCTATAATCAAATCAATATGCAATGTTCTTTTGACAACAATGGGTGTGTATGTGTGTGTATCACGACTTGACAATTATATAACGTAATTTAAGAATGCGTACGCTTAGGCATTCCATCGCAGTGCCCGGCTGATGTTGAAAGGCCATTTTCGCGCACATAATGAGATACTTGAACTCTGGCACACGTTTATTTCACAAATTACTCCGACAACTAGCGGCCGACTGTACGCGCCAAGGGCACAATTAATGATCAAATCACAATTCACGTTACGGCGTCGTGCAATCGTGCGCGATTAATACGAACGGAAATCCGGCTCTCGGGCGTTTCTAACGGTCGAACGGCTTTTATTACTTCCCGAATGCAATTTTCTATAAGTGAACCTTCCGAACGAGCTTCGGTGGAATGACAGCCATGCGCGTCGTTGAAATAGACGTCAAGAAGCTGAACAAGGATGGACGATATACGACCGACGAATTGATGTTTGATTCTTCTAGATGGCACCAGGCAGCCCGTTTTAGTCGCATTTTATCGGGTCTAACGACTCGACTATCACCCCAAAGTATAGTTCCGAAGTCTCCGCTATGAGCCGCCACCGTTTCTAAACACCAAATCGGATTGGTCGAAGCTCGAAGGACGGAGGGGATATATTTGAACTTAGTTCTGTAGTAACCGCGCGTCCGGCCGTACAATGGCGGGTCTTTCCTTCAGTCGTCGGTTTCATCCGCGAATTCTCCGAAAATCCTCACCTTTCCGTCCCAAATCTTCGAGCTCCTTACGCAAATAGGTATTTCCATCATATCATATTATTAACCTTTATGCATACGGTATTGAGAATCTCAGGAAATCCAGATAAAGTCTCTGAGGGAAAGGGAGAGAGAAGGAGAGAAGCTAGGCGGATTGGTTAAAGAGAGATGGACACACACAAAGATAATACGGAGAATCAGATCTCCGAAGAAATCAACGCGGCCCTTTATCGGTTTTGCGAAATCAGCGTTAATATCAAAATTCTACCATACCGTATTTCTTCCTTTTTATTTCCTTTTTTGTCAGTGAATGTATACATATGTCTCGGTGGAGACCGTTCCCTTGGCATATACAAATTCCAGAATTATCGAAATGTTCAAAATGGCGTCTTTACTGACTTTTCGTCGTAAATAATTTTCATTTCATTCCGCATTTGCTCTAATTATTCGAACAGTCTTCGTTTGACGGTTTCACTGGCGCGACGAATTAAAACATTTACACATATTTCCACTTCTCAAAATGACAATATATCTCGCATTTATTCCGACTGTTAAACGAACAGTTTTGCTCTTACGGTGGCGGGTACGCGACAGATTTAAGCATACGCACGGTACTCTCTCTCTCTCTCTCTCTTTCTCTCTCTCTCTCTCTCTCTCTCTCTCTTCCCCCAATATAATTTCGCTTTGTATATTTGATCGAATTGTTCAAACGGTCTTATCTCACGGAAAATAGATGAATTACGAGGAATCAACGATTATTTATCTCCATTTCCTGAATTTTGTAGGCAGGAAATCCAATTTTACCAAACACTATTTCCTCTTTGATTCCTTTCCGATCCGTCTATTTTCTCGCGGTATGATGTTACGACTCCGGCCGCAATTAATTTCGCCACATTTTCTCGCGTATATTTTCTCGTTCTCCGAAATAAACGTTCCCGAATACGCCAATCTCGAAGGATCTCGCCTTCCGACCATCTCGTTTATATACATATCATATCTACGCGATAACTCGCTGGTAAAGCAAATAGAAGACGCACGTTGTGAATTTCCATAAAATACCTACGAGACTTATCCGCATCAATAACACCTTAATGAAAACAGTCATGAGATAATACTAAGTGAGTCTTTCGAGTCTTGTCTCTCTTTATTTAAAAAGAGAAAAAAAAAAACGAGAAGCGAAAGCGGGAGGAAAAATGTCGGGCGCGCGTATCGCGTGCCTCCGTTCCGGCACGATCGGAAGTGTCGGCTCGACAGAACGGCTGATGATTTACTTTCTTTGGCAGAAGTTAACATAAGCGTACTCGGTTAACGTCAGTCTCATGTCGCCGAGGAGATCTTCGAGAAAAGAAAACGAGGCGCTGGATTCCCGACGGGAGGAATGGAGCTCTACAGTTTCATCGATCGCTCTACGATTGCTCTACGAATCTCGGCCCTGCCTGCGGATATATTATGGTTCCTGTCTCCGCGTGAGTGATATCCCATAATCAATAGCGTATTTCACGATCACACCGATAAATGTCATCCGTTGAGGAGCCATTTTAGATTTATTTACACAATTAAGGCGCTAGTCGCTCGTTCGAATGATCGGCCCGTAGATACTAATTTAATGGCAGCGCTTAAGAGCGCTCGGCTTCTCGGTTTTGGGCCATGAAGGATCACATGTACAGTCCTTCTTGTTCCAAATCTTCCCCGTGACGTTCTTAATACTATACAGTTTCGTTAGAATTGGCACTATTAGAAAAGAAACTAATCAGTCGTCGAAGGTTAATTTTCAAAATCAGCGTCATCGAATCGTATTGCACTTTTTCACGATAAATGTATGCATATATCTCAAACGTTACTTCGAAGAAAGCAACATTTCGAAATCAACGTTCGATGTCCGAGATGGAGAGTTTCATCGAATATTATATGCCCTGTGCGCTTCCTCTCTCAATTAATTGACCTATTTTACGAGGGGTAACACGTAACGCCGCGGACGCTGCGACGCTCTTAAAATCTTTTAAAATGTAATACTCGTTTCCCGATAAATTGGTCATTTCTACATTCGCACATAGAATGGCTCGTTAATAAGTAAATCGCAGTAAGTGAAGCGGAGATACTCGTTGCGGTAGTTGGCGTTCACCCTGTATATCAGTAATTGGTCGTCGCGAAAGTAATGGATCGGTCAATCAGACTTCCTTTATCGCTTTATCACGTTTCGTATAATAATACAATACAATCGTAATTTGGCGATAGAAAGAATAAATGCTATCAAAAACGCGCAGTTAGTCGTCGCAGTGTTTTCCGTTGTTTCTCGATTAATCGCGTGTGTGTGTGTGTATGTATGCGTGTGTGCGTATGTGTGCCGGCAAGCGAGAGGTTTGGCATTCTTTTCTCCCGCCATTCGGCGCGCTGTTTCGTTTGCGGTAGTACATACAGGGTTACGTACGAAGGCCATGTTTTTCTTTTATGTATAATAACGGCAGTATTTTGCGCAACGCAGGTCTGTAGTTAACACCTCTCCGAACAGAACTCTCTGCGAGTCCTTTGTCATTCTCCGTCGTCGATCGGTTGAATTGTCCCTTACGATACATTGAACTACCATCTCCGTTAAGATCCCGTAAAATTTCCGCCAACGACGGATGATCCCGAGGAGAAATGATTCCCCGTCTCTTCCTAAACAATATTATATCGTCCGGCGAAGATACCAAGTCGAACCAGCGAATCTCGATCATACGTGTATAGTGAACTCTTGCCTTTCTTGCTCCTTCCTTTGCTGATATCTGCAACAGACGATCTCTTGTCAAAGGTACATGAAGTATCGATTAATTTTCAAACGTTTCGAAGTCGAAAGAGAGAAAACTGAATCATTTCTTACAAATTGACGATATCTCAATTTTATACAGAACGCTCCAAGCTCTCTTCATCGCTCTTTATTTAGCTTAAATTTTTTATTAACTATGTTCACGATCAAAGCCCAAATTTTGAATTGAAGGGTTAGACCAACGTAACAATTCGAAAATATCGAATTTTTTTCACACCTTTCATGACCTTATAATCTTAAAAATATGCATCTAAAGTTTCATGATGAAATTCCTGATGAATACTATGATATGCGACTTTGAAGCAAGCGGTAACATAAGCAAGTAGTAGCACGGAAATATGGCTCACGCCGCGCGCCAATAGACGGACTCAATGCAAATATTCCTACGATCTGTTTAACTTGTGAAAGGTAATAGCAAACTTGGCAGCAACACGGATATTCAGAACAGTAATGAAAGTTACGACTCCACTGTTTGGATGTTTGCTCCTAAACATGAATGCCGCGGTCCAAAAATAATCAAAATACCTGCCATTTTTAATGATGGATTACCGTTTCATCTTGCAAATGTTCCAACTAATGAAAATAATAATCGGGCCGTAAAGCTAGGCATTCACAAGCAACAAAAATAAGCAACGGTTCGACATCGCGAACTTGCGCATATCCCGAATCACAAAGAAAGTAAGACAGGTGAGAAGGGAAGAATTAGCTGCCCCTAATGAATTGTGCAAAGAAACTGAAGGTTTAACGCACGGGGCAGGAATAGTCGATTAGACGTAAGTTGCAAACTTTGTATGTTATGTCTCAAGAAATTCTCTCAAAGCTTTAAACGCGAAATCCTTTTCTCGGGGCCACGTTTTACCATTCCGCGGAATAGATAACTCGAAGCATAATTAATTGAAATATATAATATAACAATTAACTGAAACTTTCAGTAGACACGTGTCATCGAAGGGTGAACCTAAAAAATCAAAAAGAAAAGAGGCAAAAACGTGAAAATAAGTTCGTTAACGCACGATGACAAGAAAGATGCGAAATTTTTGCGAAATTATTTCCTAAAAATACGCTACTTTTCAGAGTGTTACACTGGTCTGACCCGAATGTGTGCCGTGTTCGTGATGCCGCCGAGAATGATGCAAACAACCAACATTTCGCCCCGTTCGGCTATCGCTGTGGAGCGACGGCGCGCGACGCCTAGCGCGTTCTGTATACGGGCAAGACGTAAAATTTCTCCGGTGTCGGCCTCAGCCGCTTGGTGTTTGACATGCCTGGTCTACGGAGACTCGTGTCGATACCTAGCGAGCATAGATTCGACGGCCTCGATCGGTAGTCTACCCAGGCTGCCGCCGTGACGGGTTCCGGCCGACAAACTCTGCCACTCACGATCGCGTTCGCGATCACGATCACGGTCGCACTCCACGTCGCTCAATTCACGGCTGTCGCTGAACCCGCTTGGCGGCAATAGCGTCATGTCCTCCACCGAACTGCCAAACAGATTAGAGGATATGTCGGCCGAATCAGAAAGGGTGGTCGCTAAAGTATGATAGGTAATCGATGGCGGTGGTCTCGCTACGTCTCCTCTCGCTCGAATCGCGAGACCTTTCGTCGCGACGCTGCCGCCTGAATTAAGGAATCGACAGAACGCAATTTTCATTCAATCGGATCTCCAAGTAGCGGGAATCTCTTAAAATTATATTGAGTCGTTCGATAACTTCGCGCGCATTTTTCACGACGAACTCAGAGCCGATATCTCTATGTCTCAGACACAACGTTTTATTCGTTTTTTTTTTTGTTTTTTTCGTTCGGTGATTCTCTGCCACTGAAAAACGACCGGTACATTACTGAGTAAAGCCACGCCCGACTATAAAAGTGTCGGCCTTGAACTTTTCGCGAGAATCCGCACGAATTTATCGGACAACCCAATACTTCGATGTCATCTTTGTACATCTTTGATGTCATCTGGACAAGATATCATAAAGTCAGATTATATACATTTCACATGTGTAATTACGCAAATTCTTTCATTCAATTATAGAAGTTCGCTCAAAAGTCTTTCAGATACGAGAAAAATGGTCGTGTGATTCTTTTATATGTAATAGCACGTATTTTAAAACGTCTGCTTAATATCCATCGTCGTATTGAATATCAGGCTTTTAGAACGAAGGGCAAAGATGCGAATTTAATGAATATCCTCCCGAATATTTCTTCCGGCGATTAGTAGAAGCTGTATTACGTTCCGTGAAAAAAGAAACGCAGATTACCGTGGTCGGCATCGTTGCACTCCTTTCTCGCGCCGTTGTGAAAGACCGATGAGATCGGTACCGAATAATCAAGACTGAGTGCTATGTGGAAACAAACAAACCTTGGCTACCTGCGAGTAGACCGGCTCGGCTGTCGGCTTCGTCGTCTCGCGAGTGAGGGCGAGCCTTCGTTGTTGGACTCCGTACTCGATTCCACTCCTCGCGAAAATACATCTGTAACGAATCGTCGGTTACATTCGTCTATACGGCCCGTTTGCTCGATCTTCCTCGACGATCCTTTCCGTATCGATCTACAGAAAGAGAGAAAAGAGAAGAAGAGTAGGGATTATACCTCTACAAGGCTTTACTGGCACCCTATAACTAGGCCCGGCGCATTCGCCGCAGGGACTCCCGGACGTGTCGCTCCCGGAGCCCTGTCGACTCGATCGCAGCTTGCTCTCGGCTTCCGCGATGCTCGGGAAGTAGCGTTGCTTGTGCCACCTTGGTGTTTTCGACCTGCGTGTGAAAGAATACCAGAAAGAGGAAGAGAAGAGAAGAAAAGCGAAGGTGGGAAAAGCGAGGAAGTAGAAGTCGGACGTGGGGCGAGTCAAGCGGCGGCGCAGGAGGAAGCCAATTACCTCTCGAACTCCACGCTGGATCTCTCGTAGTCGATAGTGTTGATATCCTCGTTCTCCAAGTGGCCGAACGTCTTGAACTGCATCGTGTAATCGAGCGTCGCCGTCGTCACCGAGCGGTTTTCTCTCCCGGGAACGCTGAACGTGGCGTACGGACTTATCTCGTACATCTCTGCGAAAGATGACGAAGCGATCGTTGAGTTGTGTCTGCGGGAAAAGCAATTTGCCGAACCGCATCGTCCGCGTACCCGATCCGTGATCGGTCGTTTTGTGGTTCTCCTGCTTCACGGGTGAGCTGGTATAAACCTGATGATTGCGTCTGTTGTCGCGCTCAGCGGTCGATTTCAGTTGCACGGTCGACATGCAGCTCGACAAGTGGTGATGCTGCTGCTGATGCTGTTGTTGCTGAACCATTCCCAATCCCGTCTGTTGTTGCTGTTGCTGTCCCGGCAGCATTTCCCCTAGGTAACTCGCTCTTTCGAGAGCGACGTTCGAGTCACGATTAATGAAAAGTCCGAGAGCGTCGGGAAATTCTCGAGATCTCGAAGAAAAGGAATCGTGCTTTACCTGCCGCTACGTTTGAGCATGACGTATCCCAGAATAACCGCGGAAACGACCAACACGATCGCGCAGATTAACGGCACGACGACGTACAGAACTTTGTGATTAGGCACGGTCTTCTTGACATCGTCCTCCATTATCAGATCGTTAGGCGGACCGATACTGACTCCGCTCAGCGTCGTCGTGGCGAATTCCATTTGCGTCTGAGTCGAGCCCGCATCGTTGTGCGCGGTCAAACGCAGGCTGTACCACGACGCCGTTTTCAAGTCGCGGATAATGAGATTCTCGGTCGCTCGGCTGGCCACCAGGATCCACGGCTCCGTACTGATCCGTCGGCGATATTCCACGGTGTAATATTGAATGGGACACCCCCCGTTAGGCCAAGATAATAAGTTCAGTTTCACCGACGTGCCGTTCGCCGAGATGATATCTCTTTCCTTGGGCAGTAGAGGCGCTGAAATTAGCAGATTCGAACGTAAACCAGCTATATTAAATATGAATAAGCTGCATTTTTCGACAGCGAGAAATCCGACTTCACCGATTTAGGCGAGTTTTACGGAGGATATTCTGCAGTTGGTTCAGGTGTGGTTTGATTTACCGGTGCCTTTCGTTGTTGCGCTGATCAGCGGACTCGGGTCGCCCGTGTCGACGCGATTGTGCGCCGTCAAATGCGCCAAATAGGACGAACCACACTTCAGTCCGGAGAGCACGAACTCCGTCTGCTCGGGAGACAAGGTTATTTCTTCCCAACCTCCCTGATCCCTCTTGTAGCTTAACACGTATCCTGATACAAAGAGATCCCCGTTACACGCGTCTCACGCATAGTGGCTTCCTCGTGATTACCTTGTATAGTAGCACCGCCATTGTCAGGATGATTCCATCGGAATCGGATACTGTTGGTCGTCGTATATTGTAGCTCCAATGACGGTGCTTTGGGCGGCATTACGACGACCAACGAATACGTGATGGAATCGTCGCCGAACAGATTGCTGGCCGAGCAAGTGTAATTTCCCGTGACCGATTGTTCCAATCCTGGAGGAAAAGAAATGATCGGAGAGAAGTTAGCGACGGTGATAATTTCCCGTCCAATTCCTTATCTCGCGCTTGATCGATCAATACTAGAACCGCCATAGATGCCAATTCGGCTTCTGTTTTCTCATTTTCCGATTAACCGACGAGTTATTTTCATACCATTCGCATTACTTGAGATTATATTCACATTTAAAATGACAAAAGGCCAGGGAAAAACTCTTAACCGACACAGATATTTGTAGATTTTACAGCAATTTTCAAGATCAACAAAGCCAAAACGGCCACCATCGGCGTTTCTAGTGTTAATATATTACTTACCGCGTATATTGAGATGTCCGTCGTGTGTAATCTCGTAATGCCTGCTGGTGGAGATCTGACCGTTTCTATATGTCCAGATTGGTCGCGGCGTGGGATTCCCCACTACCAGACACGATAGCATGACCGACGACTTCACAGCCCTCCTCAGTACTTGCGAGAACGACGCCACTCTGGCGGGAGCTGCGGAACGAGTTCTCACAATTACACGAAGAAATTCAACGAAATGATTGCGCGAGGGGAACGCATAAAGTATCGGAATTATACTGTTCGGCAAAGTATACGCGCGATACGTCAGCTAGACTTCGAAATTCGAATAACTTTCACTCGGATCCGATATCTCTCGAACACGTGACCCGCAATCACCTCTGGTATTCGTCGTCTGCGTAACTATAATGGTTTGCTCCCCTTCTCCGACGCTGGTCGTCGCCGACACCCAGAATTCGTACAACTGCCTGAAAGATCAACGTTCGATAGAGAAATTCAGCGGCGAAGAAGCGAGTAATGCCTCACGATACGTCGAGATAATCGCGTCTACCTCTCCACCAGGTCCCGTAATTCCATCGTGAGGGTGTCCGTGGGCGACAACGGCGGCTCGTGCATTGTGTACGCGTTGTGATTTTTCGAGCCGGCTTCTCTGCTGTACACCGTGTATTTCGAGACGTTCCCGTTAGGCTGCAACGGCGGCAACCACGAAACTAATATGCTCTCCGCCGTTAACGCGAGCGCTTTGATACCAGCGGGCGGGCCAGGAACTATAAAAAGAGTTGCGGTCGAATCGTTCCTCTTGGAAATTTATCCGCCTGCGAGAAAGCATCTCAAATCGAATACGTTTGATCCGGCTTCCCGGCCGGTGCTGCGTGGATTTGTTTCCGACGTTTCGTGCGCGCTTAATCAACTCACTTCTTCAAGGAGAGGAGAGACCTGCGATTATTCACGAAATGAATACGAAATCTGTAGTTCGGGTGTGCGTGCGTTCACGAAACGTCGGGAGAAAATTCGCGAAGGACGCGGCACCAAACCCGGAAGTCAGATGAAATCGAGTATCTCACCGTCCTCTTCCGTCATGCAGAAAATCGGTGGGCTGAGCGCTCCGTCGCCCGCTTTCGTGTAGGCCAACACCTTGATGGAGTAATTCGTGTACTTGTACAACGTGTGCAAGTAGGTCTCCATGCTGGAGGTCTTCTTCACCTCGCCGACCGTCGAGATGTCCACTGGAAAAACAAGCGGAACTTCGACGTCTCGCTTCTTCGTCCTCGCCTAAAGCGCTTGTTCATGAGCGACTCACTGTTATCGGTAGGCACCGGCCTGTAATAGACTTTGTATCCTATGATAATCCCACCGTGCTGGTGAAGCGGCGGTGCGATCCAGGACACCTTGACGCTCTGCGAAGATAACGGGGCACACGTCACTTGAGTCGGCGGCGTTTCCGGCACTGCAAAGAGACGAAGGAAGTTTCAGGTGTGCCTCTTTGCTTTCGCCCGCTCGAAAGTACCTCCTTCCTGAGTAGTGCCCACGATGGGAGAGCTGGTTGGTCCGCTGGCTATACTGTTGAAGGCTCGGATCGAAATGTCGTACTTGGTGAACTTCCTCAAGCCGGTCAGTTGCACCTTCGTCGTCGCCCAGCCGTTCACGGTCAGGCTTTTACTTTGATTCACGCCCGAAGTCGACGACGAGTGTTCCGACCACGTGACTATGTATCCTAACAGATCACCGTTGCAGGATTCCTTCGGCGGTGGCTGGAAAACGTCATTTCGTCGTTCGTTGCAACGCTGTAATCTCCTTAATCTCGGGTTATCGCGTCCTGATTTACTCGAGAGAACGTTAACACGTTGACGCCGATCATAAGGCGTCTCGCGTTTCGGCAAATTAACGGCATTACCCTCACCTGCCAACTAACCATGAGTTCCCCGGGCCCGGCGGATTGCACTTTGATGTTTTGCGGCGGTTCTGTGGGCGCTGTTACATAGAAGCGGTGTTACGACGATGCAGTGAAGTTTCTGTCATACGATCGCGTTGTCGCGCGAAGGCACTTACCCTCCTCCTGCGTCTTCGCCACCACCGGCTCCGTCGGTCCGCTCGCGTCGATGGAGTTTATGGCGAATATCCTGAAGGTATAGGTGACAGCCGGATGAAGACCGCCGACCAGAGCTACTTCTTGGTCATCGGCCGCGGTATCGAACGGCGATAAGCCTGGAATTGATATCAGTTGCGGAACGAACAGACGCGCGACATCGATCCGGGCGAATGTGGACGAACCGTTTTGGGTCGGATGTATAGAATTACCGCTATTGGGGCTTCCCGGCGTGTACGTGACGTTGTGCGTTTTAACGGGATTCCAATCGTCGGTCATACCGTGGCTCAGCGAGCGGTATTGTATCACGTAATTTCTTATGGGGCTGTTCCCGTCGAAGGACCGCTTCCACAGCAAGCGTATCGATCGAGAACCAATCTCTATTACCTCTAGTCCGGCTGGTGGATCCGGCCTCTCTGTAAGAAGTCGAGCGAACTTTTCTCCCCGTCGCGATAAAATCTCGCCGACAGGCGGATTCGGCAACCGAGAGACATCCGGCGAAGCGCTCATTTTCGCTCACCTTGCACCGCTAAATAAATGAGATGCTCGCTTCTTCCGTAAGCATTGTTCGCCGTGCACCTGTAGACTCCGGAATCTTGCCGATCGCTGTTCGCGACGGACAGTTGAGACTTCAGGCCGTTGTCAGTCTTAATCTCGCCGATGCTCAATCTGTGATTGCTCATGTCCAGCCGATCGCTGTTGTGCATCCATTGCACCTCTATGGGATTGTCGCCGATCACGGTGCAATCGATGGTCACGGACTCCCCGCGGCGAATCGTCACGTTCTTACTCTGGAACTCGAACCTCGCCGGCTCTGCGCAGACGGAGATCATCAATTTCGCTCTCCCCGGGGAATATTTACCCCGTAACCTCCCGATATCGTTAGTGCGAAACTGCGCGAGATTAGAAATGGATTAACACCGACAAAAGGAAAGAACGATTCCGAACATTCTTATTATTAGACGGCAAAAATCGTACGTATCAACCTTTGATTTGACAATGTTTTCGGAGAATATAAATCCACAAAGTGTCATCAATATTTTGGAGTTTTTTATCGGGTGACCGCAAATCTTATCTGCGCTATTCCGGAGCATTTAGGACTCCGTCCGTCTTGCACTAGATCATCGTCAATAATTAGTCCGCAATTTGTAACGTTAATCGCACTCTTACCGTGCACGGACACGTATATCACTTTGCTCAGTCCTGATCCGATTCCATTGTTAGCCCGACACAGATAGTAACCCTCATCCTGCGGGCCGGCGGAAGCCGTCCACAAAGACCCATTAGGCAATATCGTGAGTCTACCATCGGAACCATCGACCAGCGGCTGATAGTCGTTGGACGTTCTGCCTCTGGCACGCAGCCACGTGATACGCGGCGGCGGAAAACCTTTCGCCTCGCAATGGACGTTCAGCGGATTGCCCAGGAGGGTAGCCACGTCCTGCGGCTCAAATATCCATTGAGGAGGTACTTTCACCAAGAGTTCCGCCGTGTGGTTGACCTTGGCGGCGCTGTTCGTGGCCACGCAGGTGTATTTGCCGCTGTGTCGCGACGACAGTTCCTTGAAGACGAGCAGACTGAAGAACTCAGCGCCTCGCTCTTCGATCTGCGCGACAAGGATACGTCCGAAGGCACAATTGAGGACATTTTGTGTGAAATATTTTAAGAGGCGACCCCGGGTGGAAATTTCCCAGATACCCGCAGGTATAGCATAGATTCTGATTAGATTACCCAAACTTGTATCAAATAAGTGTGACATATTGTGAGACACCAATTAGAAATTCCATTCTTATCCCAATTATAGGAAAATATATTTTAAGAAAACGTTGAGCAGAACAAATGAAATCTGATTGGATTTCTTACTTAGAATCACAATTTTATTTAGTTAGTTGGATCCCATTTTCTCCGCCCGACATTTCCAACAAAGTTTTTCTTTTTCAGATTGCTATTTCGCGTGTTTATGTTGAACAGAATATCTGAAAAGATTTGAATATTCATGCGCGTTTGACGTATATATAAATACTTCAAAAGCGTAAATATTCGAGCTGGTCATTTCAATCTCTGACATTTGAAAACCTTGTGTAAAAAATGAAATTATTTTTATTTTCCTACCTACAAAATTGAATTTTCCCAATTTTTTCGTTTCTTTCGTTAGGCCTGATTAAATCACCTGTAAGGAAATTTTCAAAACATTTCCAAGTATAGCATAGATTCTGATCAGATTATCTAAACTTATCTCAAATGAGTGTGACACATTGCGATATCAATTAGGAATTTGATAATATTCTATATCATTCTTATTCCAGTTATAAGAAAATTTTAAGAAAACGTTTGGCAAAGCAAATGGAATCTGTATGGATCTCTCACTTAGAATCGCACTTTTGAAATATTACATTTCTAATCTGATTCTTTATAATTTTCCCAATCGGAATCCATTATTTTTTCGGGAAATCCGAATAAATACCAACCAGATCTCAGAAAATTTTCTATGCGGGACAGTCGCGCTGTTCTTATCGGTCTAATTAAAAACGGCTAAATTAGACCAAAATCCGCAAGAAAATTCAAAACCTTCGAGCCGAGGAAGAGAAAGCCGAAAGTAAAGCTAACAACGTCATTTCTTCGCGCGATTTTTGAGACCGCGATAGTTCGCTTATCATATATCGCATTTAAAATTTCATCCCGCGGGATTTGTTTGAGTAACATCATTCGCGGAAAATGTAAATCCCCCGCGGGACTTTCATTACTAGAAAATACGTATTTTCGTTTCCACGAGGTGGAACGCCGAGGAAAAATACGAGGATCGCCAAAGCAAGGTTTGTAGGTAAAATATGTGCATAGCTTTTAAATGAAATTTCAATTCGTTCAGTTTCACTTGCGGCACTAAGGACAAGTGTGTCCCTACTCGGAATATTAATATCGTATATCGCGAGAGAATCGAACACGCTGCCGTAGAAAGATAAAGCTTGCCATCTTCTAATGTAACACTTACGCGAAGGGAAGAGGGCAACGGTTCGCCGTCCTTCAACCAGGAAATGTGGATCGGCAGGTCGCCCGACGTTACGCTGCACGTCACTTGAGCGCGACTGCCTTCTTGCGAATTCGCGGGAAAGCTGAAGGGACTCATTACCGGTGGACCTACAAAATACGCACGGGCAAGGATGTCATATCTCACGTCGTCATATTCTCCACAACTGCGCGTCGGCTAATTACAGATTGCGATACTCTTTTCCTCGATGAATCTCTCAACGCATTTTGTATCCTGATAACGTATCTCCCGAAAATTACTGAAAAAGAAAGAAACTTCCCTATTTGACACGGGACACCTTGCGAAACTCACGCGAGGAAAAGTGTTGTGACCTTCAATCAGCCGACTGTGTGTTACATCGGTCCCTTCGATTCATTGTAAAACTTGAAAATGTTGCCGGAGAGTCTCGGTGCTGCTTTCAAACGCTCGATATTTCCATTCGTCGGCCCCTAGTCTGATCAGTTCCGTATCGTCCGACTTTCTCGGTTTTCTTTCGTCGTCACTTACTGTTAACGGTCAGAAGTATGTCTCTGTTGGCGGTCTCCCCGGAACTCGCTCGGACTATACAGGTGTAGGTGCCGGCATCATTCGGATCCACCGTGACGATCGTAAGGTGGCCCTCACTGTCGACTCGGTGCCTGATGTCAAAGGGCAACTCGGCGCCACCCCGGGTCCACTCGACCGATGTGATCGGATATCCTGAGTAGGGACACGCTATTGTGATGTCGACACCGGCGATGGCGCGAACCGGGGCGATCGATCGGATGTACGGAGGTCCTAAAAATGGGGCTTCTTATTGACTTCGATTTAATACTCTCGTGCGTCGGCGCATTCTGCACATTTAGTCGGCACATTTTCCCGGCCTGATTGTCGAAGCTTCTGCATTTCTGTATATAAATAAATGCGAGCTATTCTCGATCTATGGACTAAAAATTTAGTCAATCTATGTTTAACGTGCCCTATTTCGTATAAAAGTCACGATTGATTTGGCTGGAAAACCGCGAATTCACGTTGGTTGCCCGACATTTATCGGACTTTCATACGTAAAACTCGCTTTGATTTTCAATACATGCGATTGCATTTGTGTATTTTATGTAATATGCAAAGTACGCAAATTCACGCGTTTAATGCAGAACTATTTTCTTCCCGCGGGTATACTCGGTCGTACCGTAAATGTTCAATCTAGCTTTGTGTTCGACGGTCGCCAAAGTGTTGGACGCGACGCAAGCATACAGTCCGCCGTCCTCGGTTCCCGCCGATGAAATGTTTAAGTGACTGATCACGTCACCGGACTGGTCCACGTATTGGCCTATTGCGTACCTGCACGTACAGTTGCTGATTAGAAGACAGTAGGGTATAACGTCCTCTCCTGAATATAGGTACGACCTACCTGTGCCCAGTCGCAATTTGGCTCAGTGGTTCGCCATCAAGCAACCACGTGAAGGATGGTGTCGGTGAACCGGTAGCCGAACACCGCAGAGAGACCGGCGGGCCCGGTCGCAGGGCTTGCTCGATAAATGTATATTGTAGCTCCGGAACCGTGTCTAAAAGTTCGTTTTCAAAGGTGTTCTAAAGGCGAGCAGGCTAAAATGTACACTCTAAAATGCGGTCAATATATTATCACTGAGAAATAGTCAATAGTGATCGTAGTTATAAATAATAGCACTACAAATCAGTAGAATCTCGCTGCAAAAGTCTACTAAGCAACCGTTTCCGTATAAGAGAAATCTAACTGCAGAAACAGTGAAAAAATATATATTATTTATTACTTCTTTTTTATCATCTTAATTCCACTTTTAAGATATTGTCAACGATTGTATCTGAAATATTCTTAATTATAACGTAAGTAAGGATGCTCCTTCTTGGTTTAACTAAATATCGAGTAATATTACGGGCCTTTAGGAGGGAAACACGAATATCTCTCTTTCTCTCTCTCAATGCTTTAAATATTAATATCACTTGATATTAGTATGTCTTAATATTCTTAATTATATTTAATTGATGTGTTTTATATCGTATTTGAAAAACATGCTTATCTTGATGAGACTTGAACTCGAAACCTTGAACTCTTGAGAGACTGCTACCACATGAACACGCCAAATACGACATATGATTGAATGCACATATAAAATGTGCGTATATTTTTTGCACGGGAAGTGCAAAGTAACAGCGATTTGCAATGAATCTTTCACTGGCTAAAATCAATGAAATATCAGACAAAAAAGTTCAGTAGAAGTTTCCTCTAAAAATGAATGAATACTCACTGGTTATCGCGGTAGAATACTGCTTCGCCGACTCACTAATGACATTTTCAACTAAGGAGAATAACAGCCAGCTTTTCGAATTTTACTAGATTCGGTTAGCTTTGACGTTAATTAAAAATTAACGTTATTTACTCAGATTGTCTGATAAAAAAGTAATAAAATCATAAAACTGGGAGGTAAAAAAATCGGATTAAGACGAGAGCTCAGAATAGTAAAATTAATAGAGATCGTTCCACGTAGATTTCTAAAAACCGATTGTGTTAAAAGCAAATAAAAGAGCAAATGAGAGTCGAGCGTAGCGTATATTCAAGGAAAAAAAAACGAGCAATAATGCTCTCGCTGACCTCCAAGCTTGAGTTCGGCGGTGGCTTGCGCGTTTTCCTTGTCGCTCCTCACTAAACACTGATACATCCCTTTGTCCCTGCGACCGACGGAGCCTATCACGAGCACCAAGGGAGCCAACAATCTGATCCTCGTGTCCTGTGCGGTCAATACTGGTACACCGTCGTGCAGCCACTCAACGCTCTCGACCGGATATCCCTCGACCGTGCAGTTCATCGTGGCGGTCTCGCCAGAATTAATGACCTGCGAATGACGACAAGCGAATCTATCCGTATCTCGCATTCGGAAGACCGAGCCACATTTATCCTCGCGATTTCTCAGCTCACGTTTCTCCCTCGGTTTCTCTCACGGCGCGCGGTGAAAAGCAAAAAAGAAGCACGTATCTTCGAAATTTACTCCCTTGTATATCCATTAAGCTGATTATTTTTTTCGTTTGACGTCAATCCAATCAATTCAATCGCCATGTAATAATAGCCTGTAATTGTTTCATTAGTGATTTAATATTACCGATGTTGTCGTTAATTAATTATCATTTAACCCGATTTCCCGTTACACCATCGCGCATCGGCAAAATTAGAATATTGATTTCGTGTAAGTGGATTTAATGCCTGATTTATAACTAATAATTGTTTTCCCGAGCTTATTGGTTAAATAGCTTTCGCTAAATGATGTGATATAGATACATATCAACGGGAAGCTCGGTAATTTGTTATATAATTGAGATTTTCTGTGCTTATAATTACATATCGCGCATCTAAATCCTAAGCGGAATGCTTTTTGCGCGGATAACGGAGCTTCACTGTCCGGCCGTTCGTTCGTTCGCATAAATCAGACCAATCTGTTCATACCTGCACACGCGGCTGAATCCGAGCGTTTAGCTTTGAAGTGACCGACAAGTGCGTCTCCGCTCGTTGCTCGCCGAGTTGATTGCTGGCCCGGCAAACGTATCTTCCAGCGTCCTGCGCGTCTACGCGACGAATTAGCATTAAATCACCCCAAAGCTGAATACGGCCGAACGATTCGACCGGTATCGAGTGGCCTGCGACAAGACATTCGCATGTAACTGTCCGTTCGTGTCACTGCGCGACGTTACTCCAACAATGTATTTTAACGTTCGAGATTCATGTTGAAAATGATTTCACTCCCGACATTTCACAGCTCGTCTCGCAAAGCTTTTCTCTATAAACTGCACGGAAAAAAGAATTAGCTCCCACACGGCTAAAGGACTGACTCTTACGTGGAAAAAACTAATCTCAAATCAAACGATGAAAGATATTCTCATATATAAGCAAGAATATTATAATTTTAGATTTTCATTCTTGATTTGATTGAATTTCTATTGATACAAGTATTACCTGCATTCGATTTAAGAATAAAAATCTTTTCGGAATATTCTAACATTCTTGCTTATATGTGAAAATATCTATCGTTGATTTAAGACTATTTTTTTCTATTTACAGATAAAAATTATTATAATACAACTGAAATTTAGTTGTTTTGGCTAATTTGTTTTGTCTTTGTATCTAGTTTTTAGTTCACACAGCTAAAAACTAGGTCTAGTTTTGCCATTGTCTGGATAATGTGAAAATTTAGTTTAGCGGCACAACCAAAAATTAATACCCTTAACAAATCTTTTCGCTGTCCAAACAGATCTTTTTATTATCACATTAATAAACAATTCGCTGCTCCAGCAAAATTGTTTTCTCCGTGTAATCCCTTCCTTCCGTGCGACTCTACGACGATGCCTCTTTGTCATTAAAGACAATAAGGTATTATTCGTAGTAGTAGTTTGTTAATTTTTTCTCTTTTCCACGAAATAATATTCATTGCGCGACGACACCGTTTAAACATAACACGATATCCGTGCGTTATCGAGGAATCGATGTTTGAGCATAACTAGTCGTTTGTTCGGCGCTACCGTTAACATAGCTTATTCGGTAAACATTCCCCTAATTAAACCAACCATTAACATCGCGATACCAGGTAAATTGCGGCGGTGGGCTTCCTTGCGCCGAGCACGTGAGGTGAACGTCGGAGCCGCTCTCGGCGGAAATAGCGATCTCGGACCGCTGCATCAATCGCGGCGGCGAGGAACCGGTTGGTTCTACGAATAAAACGAAAACGGGTTACAAAATTAAAGGAGATGAGAACGAATGCCCGAAATTATCCGTCCGACCGTCACAGAATGCCGGTCGACGGGCTAAATTGATAGTAAAACGGCTTTCAATTTGACGTCCTGTCTCCAAAAAGATTTATTCGCTTCTGGCGGTTACCCGTGACTGTCAGACTGGCGGGTTCGCTTCTTTTCCGCTCGCTGGTTAAGGCATGCAGGGTCAGACACGAGTACGTCGCTCTGCCGTCTTCTGGTCTGGCGGCCCTAATATGAAGATCACCCTGCGATGTAACCACGAATCTTCCGCCTGTGAACAAAGCCCGGGTCACACACACACAGGCCGATTCGACGCACGATATGTTTTTCAGGCATCTCGCGCGCGCGCTTTCTCTCGGGACTCCGGGAGATTTCTCTTCCCTTCGAGGGAGTACAATATCGGGTTTTCCACTATCGTGATTTTGCTGAACGTGGACTTCTTTTTTTACACATACCCTTAGGTAAATAAGTATTTTCTCGAATTTTGAGCTTCCGCTCTCTTGTGTACGCGTACTCGAGAAGAATGCGCGACTTCGGTGACGAGATACGCGTCTACGAACTGGGAGAGGGGGAGGGTAGGGGGGATTAAAGCTACGAAAATTTCAGTGTGCAGCTGCGAACGCGTTGCAGCCGAGTAAGAATTTTCGCTCTCATCACAACGCAGCGCGAAACTAAAGAAAATGTTCGACTATGCGATTTATTCCAGTTCCTTCTATGGCGCGGCAGACTGAAGCGGAAATACCGTTCGACTTTTCAGAATTCAGAAGCCGGGAAATATCAATAATAAATCCGTGAACGTGCACGCGGTTCCAGCAATATTTTCTCCCGCGCTTCAAGTTCGCGAAGGGGCAAAGGGTTATGCAAAATCCTCAGCATCTGTCGATGAAACCCCTTCGGGTCACGGACGGGCGTACCATCAGGCGTGAAATTTTCAATTTGGCTCAACCATCGGACAGCCATCGAGCAGCCCGGTCTACCGACTCGCTAAAGCCGTCCGACTATTTCGGATTGACCCGCCAAAGATTCTTCTCCATCACGCTCGGGACATTATGAGTTTTCGCGCGCCATTATCTTTTCTTGGGAATAATTAATATGAATTCGTGCCGGAGACAAACCCCAGGAATGCACTCGGAGAAAATGACTTGGGAGTAGCAGCTAAATCTTAAAAGCTAGTTCGAACTTCGCCGTCATTGCTGAAAGTTGGCTATTAGAGGTAAAATACATTTGCTGCGGGGTACGACTTTATTGGCTGAAATTATTTGCACGAACGGCCAAAATTGATTAACTCTGCTAGTTATATCACACACACACACACACACACTGGGAAGTAATTTACCGATGAAAAGAAAATTGCTTTCAATTTTAGAAAACCGTTTGTTTGCATGCAACTGTGAACGTATTTTTTTTTTAATCAGCAATTTATTTGCTTGTTTAACAAAAATAATTCCTCTTTAAATTATTTACTTAAATGTACAGAAATACTTTCTACAATACAATCAGTACTTCTTAAAATATAAAAAATATTTACCGCTACGTAATAAATCTTTAATAAATATATTCGTTAAAATTAAATAAGTTTTCTTTCTCAGTGTAGACGATAAGAAAGATATATCAATCGAAAAATAGTCTAGCCTTGAGGTGATCGACCATCCAAAATTCTCGGATCCAAAAATCTCGGATTCGAATCTATCGGTGCTTAAGCGTGTTTTTCAGATATGATGTAACACTAGTTCGGGTAAATCGACGAAATTTCAAGCAAAATTAGCACACATTAACCCTTAAAAGCAGTTTCTGTTAAAAAAAAAACAAATTTCTAGTCAGGAATATATGATTATTATTGTACATAATGTAGCTAATATTTTTTCTACAGCGCTTAAATTGAAACAGCTTATAAATTTAGCTGCAGCAGCAACGACATCGGCTGTTCTTATTTCGAAGATACATCTTAGCCACCACAGTTAGATTTTAGCTCCTATGGGCTATTCTTTCTCTGAGTATGAACTTTTCATTAACGTCATTATCTTTCGTTACATTATTCACGAAATAGAGAAAGTCACGAAATAATTCGCGCATTTGGCGCTGCAATTTTGCGACATTTTTCTACAAGTTTGCCGTTTTCCGTTAACTATAAAAAGGCTCCATGAATCCTTCGCATTCTAAATGCGAATGCAGATACACATTTGCCAGGTGGAGAGGGGGGAGGGGGGGGGGCGTACGTACATATACAACATCGAGAGCTTATTTCAGCCCACTCGGAAGCTTCGCTTAAGCCAGTCGGAGTCGGCGAGGAATATTTCATGCTCCAAATAATGCGATGCTAATGACGATATCTGTCCGGAACAGCGTGAGAAGATGCGCGTTCAACGCGAACGCGATCCCGCGAGCGCGGTTCTCCTTCCCGGCGATGTCTAACAGGAACGATAGACTCGCAGACTCGATATCGTTGCAACGCATCAATGACAGAACGCGTCATGTTCTTCCGCGACTGTGCAACCGGAACTTCATGTCCCCGAGTCAGACTGCGAATCAGAATGCGATATCCTCAACAGCCGGTTGGGGCGCACAATGCGAGTACCGCGCGCGCGCCGGGAGCCGCGTGTCTCTCTTAACTTTCTTCATCCCGCTAACGGCGAGTTTGCGCTCTCTCATCTTCGCTTATCCGCGAATCGCATTTTTCACGGATCCCCCCGTAAGCGGGAACGAGCGCCCGAGCCGATAATCCGTATTTAACTGGCAAATGCATAACCCGGGCCGATAAGATTCGGTCGCTGTTTTAATCCGGGCATTTCACCGTTCTCGCAGAGTAACGTCAGTCGTCGAGCCGGCGTCTCGTGACTTTTTCACGCGAGAGGAGAAGGAAGAGAGATCCGAATTCCCTCGGAATACATCCGGAGAGACGACGGTCTGGCCGGCGTCTCGCGCTGCGAACTATAAGCGCCGTGGAGGCTTCCTCTCGTCGCGAGCGTGACGAGTGGGATCGCGTTTGTCTTCCCCCCGATATCGCGTACCGTCGTCGTCGTCGTCGTCGATACGTCGCCTTCGATACGGGGATGCCCGGTGGCATCCTTCTTGCGGCGCGTCTGCGAACACCGGTGGGCGATAACCGGCGGCACCGTCGTCACCGTCGGGCCGCGCGGCATCGGGAGACACGTAGAGCACCCCCGGTGTGCAGGTGCTTTCGCACGGCACAATGTTACCCGCCTAGTTACGAAACAAACGTATCAAGCCCCGACATGACGCGATGCTTCCCATGATATTCCAACGGCACACGCGTACGTACAGTTACGCGCACACCGGTACCGGTTACGTGCAACCGAGCGGCATAAATATGTATGGGACATGAATGCCTGAGCGTGTACAGGACGATCTAAACCGCCGAGTTAGCGCACGTACGTGTGCTGCCCGAGTGTGCGCGCGAATCTGCGAGCGCCCGCGCGCATGCCAGATGTTCATTCGCGAGATCAAGCATTTTGCGCCCGCCTCGCAGCCCCGTAATTGTGTTAATCCTTTTTCGCGGCGAGCTCCCTTCCCTGGGCGCGCGCGCGCGCGCCTGAGATTTATCGTTAATTTAAGCAACGCGCGATAAACCGATCCTCCGCGAGATCTTACGCGCTCAAAAATCGCCCCACGGATTACGAACGGGTAACTTCGAATCAGACGCATTCGGTCCGATCATATTTCGCGACATTTCGCGTTATTCGCCCCGCTCGCTTTAATCGCACGGGACGCACGCTGACACGTTTATGCTCGTAATTTCAGCACGTAAGCCGCACATCCGTCGGCGTTACCGATATAAAATCGATGGATTCGCGCGAATAGACGGAATTAACGCACGGGGGGAGGGAGTCGGACGCAACAATACTATTTAAAACGGAAAATTAACTATACGTGATCCGCACATGGTAGTCGGATATGTTGCTGTACGAGCGAAAGCTGATTTCGGGAGATTTAACATCGACGCATATGCGAGTTTTTAAATTAAAGAAGAGGGAAAAATTGCGAATTTCGCGTCTCACCGGTGTCTGTGTTTCCAGGCAGGAGGATAGCTTCGTCGCGGAACCACGAAGTTACGGTGAGATGTTCCTTGACATCTTCACGAGCAGTGCAGGACAACACCGCGTTGCATCCCTCCATGACGGGCTGTCTGTTCACTCTGACGTCGTATCCGGGCACCGTCAATACTGTGAGTAAACACGAATTTACGATAATTAGTATTTGATTCCGCGGCCCTCAATTATACCCGTGACAACGAGAAAATTCAGGTCCCGCAAGCGTTGCAAAGTTCAGTTTCAAATAAACTATATTTTGTTAGCTAACTCGATTACCTCCGCGAGCCGGTTAATCCGGAAAGTCATCAAAGTGAGAAGTAACGCGGTTTAATCTCGTCAGACTCGGTCGTTAGATATTTTACGCGCCCGTATCCTATAATTTCCACTCTTACATGGCCCGCTTCCAAAAGAAGACGCGGAAAGTCGAAAATCGAAATACGGAAATGTCGCTGTAAAATTAAGCAGGGAAGGGGAACGAATAGTCAGTTCGGCGTCAAACGGCTAATTTCCGACTTTACCCAGCGCACGAAATGTTTGGTCTGCATATATGTGGCTTTTGGTCGCGTTTACAATCATGTTAATGCAACGTTATGAAAATACGGAAATTTAGAATATCGTAACTTCCTGAAAATACACACGAAAATCGATGGGCATGTGATACTCCATCGAATCCTGCGTGACTCAATGCTGAATTTTGTAACAGATTGGCTTGCTACAAACATATTGCGTAATATATTTCTGTTAACGAACAATTTTTCAATATCTGCCAATCTGCCGTGAACTGTGAATCAGGGATAAACAACATGCGCGTGCGAGCTCGCATTGTTGTATTCTATAATGTTAATAAGTCGGAAAATTGACCGTATTTTATTTAATGTATTCGCATCGTATGTAAGAGAGAAAGTTGAAAGGAGGTGAAAGGCGGGCAGGAAACTAAAGCGTTGTGTGCAGAGCGAAATGACGTAGGGTCGAAAGCGGAAGATGGATGATTATTAAGAAGTTACCACAGGCGGAAAGTGGAAAATAAGACACAGGAAAGTAAAAGCATGCATAATGAACGATCAAACTTATTCCAAGTCCACGGACAATGGCCGTATTGTAATGCGAGACTCACTCCATTTATTCCGTTACGACGCGTTGAATTTATTTACGCAAAGCGTTTCGCCTGAAGTTTCATGTCGAGTAGCCAATTCGATTAATTCGTGAAATTGTCCAAACAAGACGTAAATTAGTCGATAAACAAACATTTACGTTTATAAAACACACACACACACATATATATCATATAACATAAAAAATATGCACGAAAAAAATTTTCTTAATTTTTGTCGCAACAACATTTTGCTATAACAATAGAATTATTTTTTCCGTGTAACAAATATTTTTACTGTCACTCTAGTAACAAACAATTTGCTGTGCCAGCAAAAAATTTTTCTCTGTGTGCCAAGATATTTCTGGGGTATTTTATTCGAGATAAAATCCCCCGACGAAAATATATGGAGAAAAATAATTTTGCTGTTGCAGCGAAACCACATCGTTGCTGCTGCATATTCGCTGTTACAGCAATAAAATTTATTTGGCATAATCAAATTAGCAATTTATTCGTAATTAGAGCAGAAATAGTTTCGTTGCCAGGATAGAAAATATTCTGCTGAGTGAATCTGTCCCAGGTTAATTTGCTGTTTGAATAAATAGTGTTTTACTAATTTGTTCTTACGATAAAATAATTGGTAGATTTATTCAAAATAATCCAGGAAATTAGTATCCTTGACAAATTGTTTTACAGTCCACATAGTAACTGAGAAATTTTGCTGCGACAGCGTAAAATTTGCTGTGCTAGCAAACTATTTTTTCCCGCGTACAGAATACAATTTTTGATCGTAAGAAATTATATCAATTGTTTTATTTGCACGATATAACGTATCTAATTCGTGATTAAGTTAGGAGATGATGAGACACGAAGCCCCTCTCCCTCCTTCTCTCACCCTCCCCTCTCTCTCTCTCTCTCTCTCTCTCTAAACCTAATCACTCTCAATCTAAGCACACACTCATACATCAATATGTAACAGCGATGCTGGGAACAGCGCTTAGGTCGCATATCCTCGTCCTCCAGGGACACACCTGCTTGCACGTATACACATCCTACTCACACATTCCGCTGTAATGAATGTTGGCACAAAGTGTGCGATTAATTTCCTGCATTTGCATCTTTAGTTACATTAACCGTGTAATTGCTAAGCGAATGTAGTAAACTCATAATCCTATTACATCAAACGTCGCCCTAGTTATCTTGAAACGTGTCACCTCCTCGTTGACCGATTTTAGAGATCGGATCTAATCTAGAAACATCATCTCGTCTCTAATAGAACACGCGTCCCGTCGATTTTAATACGACAACGTGTGCCGCATATTACGACCCCCTTTGTGAGGGACATTTTCGATTAGGATTCGACGAATTAGACGTATCTCGCTTTATCACATGACTATGAGGAACCAAGCGCGCGCGCACACATACATATGTACGGACTAATCCGAAACGTACGTGCCACGGGGAGCTAAGCTCACTGAAAAATGCACGTTTCTCAAATATCGGCGCGAGGCACCCCACGGATTTGTCCGTAAACATTCGTGCCGCTGGAACGCGCGCGCGATTTCTCCGATAGCGCGCGAGCGCAGGAGGAGGGCAACACGGGACGGGGTGGTTAAAAAGCGCGGCGAACTCGGGAGGACGACGTGCGTCGTAGGGCAGACGCGAAACGAGAAAAGCCGTAGGAGGGGGGATTGCGAGACGAAGGGACTGCATCGCGGTGTGGAGACAGAAACGGAGGGAAGAGGGTCGCACCGTTCCATCCTTTTCGTCGTCTGGGCGTCGGAAATTGGGAGCTCCTCGACTGCCGTCCCGATGCCAGCATCCTCCACCCCTCTTAGGAGCCGGTTCGTGAAGCGGGGACGAGACGATAGCGGCGAGGGGGTTAGGGAAGAGCAGGCCACTGTACGTGACGATAAAATTGAGATGCGCCCCGACGAGAGGGAGCGCGGAGGTGTAGGACGGGGCACGAGCGGGGTGAAACGAAATGTGTGCAAATAAAGCCAATATGCGCGGATCTCCAGCCAGGCGAGCAATGATATTTCCGCGAATTCCTAGAAATCGTTGGAATTAACTTTGCTGCTCTCTTCTCGGCGGGTGAAGCCGCCGATCCCTCCCTCCGGTTCCCCTTGTACGATCCCTCACGCCGGATCTCGGATACGTTCGCTCCCCTCCCCCCGCCGCCTATTACGCGCTGATGCAGCGTGAAAATGCACTGTGCACCGTGGCGTATCGATGCATCGCCGCCACGGGCGTGTTTTCCGAAACTTATGCTCGTACAGGATCCTGTGGTGAGCCGGTGGATTTTTAAAACCGAGTTTCTCCACCGGAGATGGATTTTCGCCGGGACGGCGAATGTATTGCCACTTATGCCGCGACTAGTTTCAGTGAGAGAGAGAGAGAGAGAGAGAAAGAGAGATCCGTGAAAAATATATATAGATAATATTCTCGTGAGTCGCGAGAAAAATCAAGGAAGGATAGGGAGGCTGGGATCAACTTGAAAAATTGTTCACCGTTCTACAAATCGTACTTAATGCCGGGAATGCTATCGTGTGTTCATGAGTGCGTGTATGCGGGTGGTGTGCGCGTGTAAATTTACAGACTAGATATACACAATAATGATTCTTTAATTACGCTCCACTATTCCGCTGCAAATTTCGTATCTCGTTATCGCGCCGGACGTAGCTCCAGTTCTTCTTAAAACCAAAAACGTGCTTTGTGCGTGATTAAAGCTGTCGACCGTTTTGCTGGAATTACACATATATAAACATTTGTCGTCCGAAATGGCGGACCTTTTTTCCGTCGAGGACCATTTCTCGGGGACTAGTGGCGGGTTGCTAATGTGGTTACGTTCTTTTTCTAGTCGCGCAGCTCCCCGTTGATAAAATGGAGAAAATAAAGAAGAATAAGAGCGGTACGCTGGAGAATCGTCTGTCTGCGGAAACGGGTGATCTCTCACCCGTGCGGTGCGCAATAATTCTTTCCTATAGCATCCATAGTCGACGCGCGTGTATGGAGAAATACGGTTTCGTCGCGAAACACGACCGAATAAATATCCAGTATACAAATTTCAAGGGATCAAGATGTAAGATATGATCCAGCACGCAAGCACGAGCGCGTCCAATCTGCACGCACGCACACGTCTCTTACAACCTTAGTTTTATTTCTCTCTCTCTCTCTCTCTCTCGTAGAATACCCGGTTTCAATTTGTTTCAAGTCAATGAAACTCCAGCGCGGAAGCCCCGCGTCTGACACGGATTTTCAGTTTTCAAAATTTAAGTCTCGATTTACATTTGTTGCATAAAGATGAGGCTCCGTTGTTTATTCGTGCTTACGAAGGCGAAATTCATCAAGATGCTTTATTTTTCGATGTTAAATGCCCTCGGGGCGATTTATCCACGGGAAAAATCATGGGAGGATGCAAAGCAATGTGAGGTGTAAGGCACCGCGGTCTTTATACGCACATTTCTCGTACGGCCGCCTTAATGAAATCACTTGGAAGAAGAAAAAAGAAGGGGAAGAAATTAAGATTAAGCGGGCGGCACGACGAGCGTCATCCGGCTGACGATTATTCTCCCGCTAAAGGTTAAGTCTGCGCGATACATCCCCTTTTAAATTTTTCAGACGCGACACCTCTTCAGGCATTATTCTCCGTGCTGCCGGCGTCGGGTGTAACGTAGGATAATGAATATTCCCTTCGCCGTTGGATCCCACCCCTGGGAGTGTTCTTCTCGCCGAAGAGCGAAGGCTGGACACGTCGGTACCGAATTCCCGAGCTCGTTGGAAAACGCGCTCCTTACAAAAGGGGATTTCGACAATGACTCTCTCTTGGAGCATAAGTCCTTTGGCGAGCACGTGGGGACGGCCGATGTCATTTTAGATAAGTGAACCGTTCCTTTTCGGCTCGCTCGTTTCAGAGGCGGCGTCGTCGGACGGTTCTCCTTGGCCGATGTTTCCGCGTATAGAAGGGAATAAAGTGAGACGATAGGACGGAGGGACGATAGGAGGATGGGATCTTAGATAATCTCTAACTTGCACATAGCGTTAATGAAGGCGCGTCGCAGTTATTCGCGAATAGTAATTAACTTTCGCACGGTGAAACGCATATTCGTTGCACGCTCTCTCGCCTCTCGTCGGCCTTTAAAAGTTTTAGAATGTAAAAAAGTACTGTATATATACAGCTTGCAATCTTCCGTTGCATCAACAGCCCGATACGAACGTCTGGTTTGAACGTGCTTCCTTCGCCTCGGAGACTTCCGGAGACTTCAATGAAAATTAAACGTGCTTTAGGTAGTGATGTGTCCTCTCTCCGTTTTTCAGATAATAATCAAATTTGTCCATTCCTATTTCCGAGGTCTTTCCCTCATGTTCATCCATTACCCTAATGATAATTAGAATAATGGGTAAAGGAATTGGACACGACAAAAAAAAAAGAACGTTACTTCCTTTTGGACTTATCAATCGTGTTGCTCTGCATCAGAAAAGCAAGATTCGCTGGAAAAATATTCTCAATTTATGTCCGGACCAACGTCATACGTCATCTTGGAACCATATTAAACTTGTTTTCTCCGGAAAGCGCGAGCAGAATAGCTTGATTATTTATGCCTATACTTCGAGGCGGACTGTAAACTTTTAACGAAAGCGCTGGCAAGATGAGATAGAAGAAGAAGAAGAAGAAAAGAAGAAGAAGGGGAATCTCTATAGCGGGCAACATCGGCAGGCGATCCATGCGAGGACGGTGCGGCGAGGAGGTATCGATTGGACGTTCTTTCATCGTCCAGTGACTTTGGGGGAAAGTTTCGGAAACCACTAGCGGCGAGGCGAATTTTTCTTCCCGTTTTAGTCGAATCATCCTTGAAAAACTTTCCGTTCGAAGTTTTCCGACGGCTGGAGCGCATTCCGTCGCGCTTCACGTGAGCCGGCTTTGAAAGAGGAGACAGCCAGCCTTTGGGCTGGCATCAAAGGGTATTTGGATTCCCGCAATTTCTTCGAATTCGTGCGCGTCGCGAAATACGACAAACACGCCGGTTTTGTTACGCGGTCGGGCACAAAGTGTATTGAAATACGCGATATAAAACGCACGTTGTTTGACGTGCGGAGTTCTCGGGTGTCTAAAAGGTCCTCGATATCTCACGAGGAAAACCTTTTCATGTCCCATATGACACCGCGCCGCCGACTCCGCCGTCTATTGTTCTAAGCGTATAACGGACGACGGGGTTTTTGACGTTAAACTTCTCGTGATTTATAGCGGCAGTTATTCTCGCAAAATCGACGTCTTCCTCGCTTCTTCGCGCACGGCTGAAAACGCGTCATGAAAATATCGTTGAGAAAGCAAGCAACCCCTAAGTGCAACGTAAGCTTAGAGCTTCGCGAAACCGATCAATGTTTACCCATTTAAAAGGTTACATGCGACGGCTAAAAAGTGAACAAGCGTGTCGCTCGCGTTACCGTTCAGCACGACCCGCTCTCTCTCTCTCTCTCTCTCTGCAATGGATCTACCATTTTGCAGTTTTATTTCGTCCGATTTATTATTTGACTTGGTTATCGCAAAGATATCCGAGAAATTTCTGCATGAGAATATCCCTTTATTAAATAATGTCGCGCCAAAATTACCACGTGAAAAAAAGAAACAGTTCCCAGGTTAAAAAATAGCTACTCATATAATGCAACTGAAATTTCGTTACCAGACCTAATTTTCAGCTGTGGCAGCCGATTCTTACGATTATAGTCGTACACGAAAAAAAAAGGAATTAGCTGCCACAGCTGAAAACTAGGTCTGATAACTACATTTCTATCGTATTATATGGACAACTAGTTTTTAGTTCTGAAAACTAATCCTTTTTCTCCGTGTTCATTTGAAAGGATATACGTTCAATGTATATCCTTTAATAATCTCGGGAGATATCACTCTCGTGATATAATTACTGCTGTTACATCGGATCTTCGGCGTGATATCATCCGGGAATAATTGTTGAACTGAAAGTAAACGAAAACGCAAGAAGGATTCTTTCCCGATTGCAATCGTGCAACGTGCAGCGGACGTCGGCGAATTCAGAGCGCGGCCGTCAGTAGTAATGACCGGTTTAAAATCAGCCATTTAAATGATGGCTCACGTAGCGCCGACCGGACAAAGTTTTGTCCCTCCTTTGGTCTTCGAGTGCGGCAAAGACCCGCCCAGGTATTCGAATCGAACTTCCTCCGATACAATTTAACGGCTTTCAACCGTTTCCCCCTTCGGTATTTACTTGGATAGCGTGAAGCCTCTCGCTTGAAAATGCGAGATGTTGGCTCCGCGTTCGCCGGCTAGCACTCCGACGTAATGGGATGTTCGGTATCTCCGGTCCGTTATTGCGACGAATCTCGCGCGAGGAAGCCGCGCCTGGATGACGTTTCTTCGATAAATAACGATTATCACGAATATCGGCATCAGCGAGCTGTCGAGTCTCGGTAGTTTCGTTCTTATTCTCTTTTATCTTTATTCAAAATTCAACTGTCGGCTGATTGAAATGACAATCTAACGAAAACGTAGCGAGTAAAGATTAAAGTGTTTTGGACAAGCGCAAAAATAAAATCGATATTCATAGTCACGTTTAATATTTAAGATCGCCTCGAGTTTATCTTCAGATTTGATATTGTACTCATCATTTCATTGATGTCTTATTTATATCTTTATTTTTATTCAAAACTCAGCTGTCGGCTACTCGGAATGACAACTTAATGAAAACATAACGAGTCGAGATTAAAGTATTATGGATTGGATGTGATAAAAACATAAGTAAGAAGTAAGAAGTAAGAAGTATTCGTACAGCCGGATCTTACATACGATCTTATAAGATCATCTTACATACATCTTCAGATACTGACCGTGTCATTGGCTATAATGCATCCGAAGATGAACTTAAGACGTTTTCAAATATAAGATCTAACTATAAATACCGGCCTAAATCTGTGAATTTATCTTACGGAAGTTATCTTACGGTCGCACATAACGTCATATCTCGCGGAAAATACGGTTTTAAAGTCTCGAAAACCTTCCCACTCGAGTCTACAAGACTACGCTTTCACTTTCGGGAGCGTTAAGACGTGTCAAATAACTTACCGGCGCGAAGGGTGACCTCGCGAGAGAGTACCGTCCCAACGGAGCTGGTCGCACGGCATCTGTATCGGGCATTGTGCACCTCGGCTCGAAAGTCTTGAGCCAAGAATGGCGGAAAGTATAACGTTCCGTTGCCCAGAAGTTGCCTGGAAAAAAAAGTGCCAAAGCGCCCCCGTCAATTCCGGCAGGAGAAACGAAAGAGAGGAAAGACGAGCGCGAAATCCGCGCGAGATCCAACGCAAACGCTTCCAACATGCGCGAGCGCGTTCGGAAAGTGCTCCGGCGTTATTCGGGCGAATAACGTCTTCACGGGATTTACGTAAAAGTGACCCGACACGAACGTGACCGCTCGGAGATTCGGGCGCCGTGATTTACGAAGCGTGATTTACCTGAGTCCCGGAACTGCCGTAACCGATCTCTGATCCGGGCTGGTAATCCACGTGACGTGCGGCGTTGGGCTGCCGTGCGCGGAGCAGCCCAATTGAGAACCCGTGGTGTTTGAAAAGACCAGGGTGCTAGGCGGTTCCAGGACGAAGACCGGGCCCTGCTGACCAAGCGCGAATTTCACGCTGCACCCTGAAACGAAAGCGGGGATCCCCACTCGTTAGTGCGTTGCAGCAATGCCGCTTTTTGCGGCGTCTCGATAGCGCGCCGATCGGCGCGCGGTCAAGCGCGATTAATTTACACTCGGCTAACTTATATTGTCTTCCGTTCGCTCAATCGTTACCAAGTCTACCGACGAGAAATTACGCGCAACTGCATTTAGTCCAAGTGACAGTTACTTAACATTTTACGCCGGGGGAGGGGGAGGGGGAGCGGCGGCTTATCGAACAAAGTTGAAGATTCGGAGTTAAAAGCGCCGTCGATGAAATTTCACTCGCGCTTTTGTCGCGAGCGTTCCGGCGGACGTCGTTGATATTTGTAGCGGCGGATCCGCGAATGCAGACCGGACGACAAAGGAATTGTCTCTCTCTCCCCCGGGAAGTGCGTTACGTATATTACCGCTATCTGAAAATCAATCGGTCAGCCCTGTTCTTCGCGCGACGGACTGCTCGGGGCCGACGATGGCTCCGGGCAGGATTTGTCCGTGGATTAAATTCGATGCTGAGACGATTATTCGATTTGTTGGTTGGTAAGCGCCGCGGATAGAATTTTATCTTTTGTCTCGTCGGAGCGGGCGGAACGACCTGATTCGCGAAGCCGGTCTAAACCCCACGACGTATACATTGTTCGCAACCGAGAAACCGGAGAAATCAATTCCACTAAGCCGAATTCGACCTAGATTTCGAATCGATTCGAGACCATGCTCGTACCGGGATTAAATGCACGCTGGAGCGAACGGTCGCGTCACTGCCCGATAGCATCTACCAAATATTTCATTCGAAATCCCCGGATTAAGAAGCAGCGTACGCGAGCTCCTATAATCCGTTCCCGAACGCTGAAAGCTACGTTTACATATAATGCAGGTTTTCCCGGATATCCGAATAAAATAAACGCATGCTTATTTTTCGAAAGAAGAAAAAAACGAAAATATTCAATCGCCCGTAATACGATGTTCCTCCTTTAGGAGGTGTCGCTTGAAGAAAGAAGAAAAAGAGATGAAGAAGTCAAATGTCTCGTGAGTTTATATCGAATCTACTAGGAAGGATGCAGAAAGAGTTGTGGCGATGTGGTGGGCTGAAATATGCAGCGAGCACAATTATGGAATGATCCGGAGACGACGGAACGCGGTAGTAAAAAAGAGAAAGGGAGAGAGTAGAGGGGTGAAAAGCGAGCGAGAAGGTGTGCGCGCGAGAGGAGACAAGATGCCGCGACAGCGGGGCAGGGTTCAGCGATCAAAGAGATCGATCCTCGTTGCGAGCCGGGAATAGGAACCGAAATAATTCATGGAATGAATTATTTAGACATAGACCGGCGCGACCTAGCGAGCAACGCGGTTTAAAATACGATTTGACGTGGCTCAGACTCTGATGTATCCGTGCAACGGAGGAAAGAGATCGAAATTGAGAATCGCTCCAAGAGGATAATATCATCCTGCTTCAACTACAGATATCGCACGGCTTCTCCCGACGACGTATTAACATTTGAGCATGAAAAAACCCGTGAGACTTGAATCCCAATTGAAATCCGTCGCGCCGAACACGACGCTCATTTTACGTGTCGGAAATGAAACTTTTCGGAGTATTTCCAAATTCTTTCTTCTTTTTTTCACGTACTTCGGTACGACCCCGAGCATGATGTTTCAGAAAAGTTTCATGACGCATAAAAGCGCGATAGCACGATCGATGCAGACATCGATATCGAGCTCGAGGATGCGCGAGCTGCGTCGTCGTCGTGGAAATGTTACGCCGTACACCGCGTATGTCGTCCTCTTTACCGGCCGCCGTTCAATGCATAAATTCCCGCACGTTGTCAAGAAGGATGTAGGCACGTAGCCACGTGTTTGCTCGCTTTTCAGGGAGCAAGAACCGAACGGTACTCGACATTGTCGTTTCCGCTCGCACGTACCGCGTCGATATGCGCGCGTGCTCGTGCTCACTTTATTTAGCGCGTTCATTTCTCCCGTATAATGCACGAATTCTCGCGGCGTGCATGCGGTCGCATTTAATGCCATCACTCCCCCCCCCCCCCCC